CGCTTTGGGGTGACGGGCGAGCCTTCGCTCTCCAGCTGGGTGATGTCTGCGCTGAACCTTTGCAGGGGAAGGTTGTCCCCCCCCCCACCTCTTCCTGACCCAGGTTATTGCTAAGTTGACCACCTTTATCATCAGAAGGAAAAAAAACCAATAAAAAGCAAATGAATAAGTACTAAGCGCATTCGAGGCTGTATCCCTAGCTACGTACAGATAGGTATATAAATGCAGACGTTTCCTCCATAGCGATTCTTACAGTACCTGTATTTTTAATAGCAAACTGCTTTTCTGTATGCGGAAGAATTAAGTATCAGGGATGCTGACAAGAGAGCAGGCGTTATCTAGGTGGAGAATAACGCGCAACTCGTCTTGAAGGTTCAAAGGAGAGGGGAGTCTGGGTGAGGACAGAATTTCCAAGCAGCCGGGCGCGAGGACGGCTTCGGGAGCCCCCTCCCTGGCCGCCTCCCTCCCCTGCCCCGCAGCTCCACCAGCTTCGGGGGGACGCGTTTGCTGGCGGCTCTCCCTCGCTAAATCCGCGCTACGTCGTTTTTCATTTCAGCTCGAGCGTTGATGTTGGGGCTGTATTGAAACTGCTTAAATTCGCCGCCTTTGTCCTGTTAAACAGTTCTCAAAGCAGTGTCAGGCTCGGTAACTGTACAGCCGTGCGGATCCCTTATCGTTGTTGTCATGATTACGCTATTACGCTAAGAAGCGTGTTTTAAAGGTATTGGAAATGGCACATGAAAAAAGTAAAAAAGTAGAAAAAAGGCAGAAGGAGGAAGGAGCTCTGAATAAATGCATTTGAAAGCAATCTCCCTGTTAGACCCTGCTTGTCTTTACCTGAGATTTTTTTTTTGCTTGCAAACGTTTGGGAAGTAGTTATCTTTGGGTGAGTTTAAAGGTAAGTGTCTGTCCTATTTACAGAGCCGTTGCCTAAGGAATAGGGCGACTGGGAGCAGAGATTGTTTTTTCTGCATGAGAATTTGGGTTTTCTTGTTCTTGTCTGCAGCACTAAAGACGGTTTCTACAGCGTTGCATATATTTACTTCACTAAATACTTAACGGTCCAAGATATGCTGAATTTTGTATTGTTATTTGCAGTGGAAAAAAAAAAAGGGAAAAAAGTAAGCCTACAATTAATGTTGTAGTGGACAATTTTGAAGTCTTTTCCCTTGACAATTTCAGCCTCGGATTAGATAGTGCATGAACTGAATTTAGCTTGACAAATCTCTTTTAATATACGTGTTTGTTAGAGGGACATCAAAGAAACCTCGGCCAGGAGATTGTTCTTATCTCAGCTGGAGCTGCTACAGCAAAACTCTGAACAAATGTACCTGGAGGAGAAAAATATGGTGGCAACAGATTGCTCCTTGGCCTTACTGCTGATTGGCAGAGATAAACACAACAATAATTTGGGAGAGTAATTGATTTAATGAAAAGTGTAATAATTAGAACATTTTTCATTCTGCAAGTCCATCTGTTGAAAGGGACTCTGCCTTTTCATTACCAAAGAATCTGTTTTAACAAAAGAAAGCGGTTTGACAAGTTTGAACAATGAACAAAAGAGAAACGTAAAGTAGCTTTCCAGTTGTGTTATCGCATGTAATTTTATAATTTCTGAATTATTATTTTTAATTCCTCTTCTGTGGGCTATTTAGACAATATGGACAAGTTGATTAATCACAGTCATTTTGTAAGGTTAGAAGTTTCCTTTAAAGTGACAAGTTGTTGCTGTTTTTACGTCAGGATGGAAGTTTTCTTTTCTTTCTAGAGAATTAACATTGTTTTATCGTAAGTGGCCAGCTCGGATATCAGGAAAGGTTTTTAGCAGCAAGCGACGCCTTACAATCCTCGCCTGATGTTTTTTCTTTCGTGCGCTAAACCAAGTTGCTGTTTTTTAGGAAACGATCTTCCTAAGCCTCTGAGCAGAGAGCGGACGAGGCACCAGTTTTCATGGCAAAGGCAATAATACCGGTGTGGGAGCGTTTAGGCGATGTTCCCCTCCCGCCGCACAAACGCAGACCGCAGCGGTATCG